ATGTGTACAAGTTATTGAAGGTGGCAAAGAAAGCTGAGAAAACTGCTAAGAAGCCACATAAGATCCTGGATTTTATAATTAGAGTCATGGAGTACAAAAACAAGAAAGTCATGACTAACTTTTATAAAGCATGAGGCTTTAAAGGCGTCAGATCATTATGTTCAATTTTGGGCACACCACTTTAGGAGGGGAGGTAAATACTTTATGGAGGACAGAGTAGAGATTCATGAAAACAATTTCTGAGACTTCAGTTACATGGAATAGACTGGAGAAGACTGAACAGACTGTTTGTTCTCTGTAGAGAAGACTGAGGGAAGATTTGGTAGAAATATTCAAAATCATGACAGATCCGTACAGAGAAAATTCCCTCATTGAGAACCAAATGACATAGGGCACAACTGGCAAAGAAATCGCCAATGACAAGGGGAAGAAGTGCAATGGCCTGCTGGAGACACAATGAATGAATTGGCTTCACTTTTCTGTGCTGTAAATTTTCTGCAACTCTAATGCAATGCCTTAGAGTGCAGTGGAGGCTGAATTCTTCAAGGGTAAAAAAAGTTGCAAGGCTAAGGAGAAACAGCAGAGAAGTTGTGTTAATTGGATAGCTGTTTCCAAGACCCTGATTGAACTGGGCTGAGGGAGCTTCTGTGCAATTTTATTCAGATTCCACTATTTACCATAAACAGAATGTGTGGGCATCAAGAAGTAATGGGACAGGGAATATTTGTGTTGAAGAAGGAGATTCAGAAAGATTTAGTAACCAAGATAAGGCAATATCAAATAATTTTTCATAGTGAGAAATGTCTGACAATAACACCAGTGAATGCAAAATCTACAGTTAAAATACACAAAAATAATTCCTTGAATATAAAACCTTAAATATTCAAATGTCATAGTATATTGTAAAACTGTCAACGTTAAAAACTAGAAGCAATCTCATAAAATACAGGGCAAAACGAGTAATATTCACTCGCTACTGCTGAGGTAAATCATTCTTAGTAGTGCGGCTCCTCTCAACATGAATAGATACAAAGGCATTGAGTGTTCAAAGGAGACAAAACTGATAAGGTTAAAACTGATAAGGACTTTTAGGGGCGAACAATTATACGAGAGGATTTTTCCGTGTTGGTTTGGAGGATTCCTTCCCGAAAACACGCAAAGAAGAAAGCTGGTGGACAATGTTAAAAGATGAAACAATAACGAGCAGAGATGATCTTTTGATGCAACCTCTTCAGTACATTATTTTCGGCTCATTTTACCTATATTTAACCATGTTTTGATTCTCTTCACCTCCTGCGCTATCTTCCTTTGTCTTAAGTGACAACTTTCCTATTGCCTTTACTTTGTTTTCGTAGAATTTCAACTGAGCGAACAAATTCAACAGGAATAGCCAAGTTGTAAAAGACTAAACGATTTGGTTAATCATCCTTTCCGTGGAGCCAGGGCTGAATTTCAGGCTTGTGCTATTGTGACAAGCGCCCTTGTTGCCTATTAATTGTTATAGCCACGCGTTCCAGCAGCGGTGCCTTTTTATTGATGTTAATCCTAAAAAGGGGCTCACCAGCAGCTAAAACGTGCCCCTTTGTTCAGTGGCCGCGCACAACATCATTTAAAGTTGGGCCAATGCCTTGGGAACAGGTTTTGATTTTCTTTTGTGGGAATTCATTGTTAATTAATTCACTCGCCGCATAAAGCCGAAGAATTCAGAACAACCTTTGGTATTCGTGGTGAAAAAAGATGGTCGTTCCCAAAAATGCAGCTAAAAGCATGTTGTAGAAAACATTATATCAGAAACGAATCAATGCTCTCGGGATACTGTCGAAACCCCCCACATAACTTCCAATATTTCAAGTTGGTATTAATCAACTGCACACTCTAGGTCACTACGGTGTATTTTCTGATTGAAACACTGCCCTCCGTAATAATGACTTATTTCAAGGAAGTTCTGCCCCTTTGACAATATGCTAAATATTGAACCGTGAGTTTGGAGGTTGTGAGCACGTGTTGGAGACTCTGTGGTTACTTCATGACCAATTCCAAACAGATCCCGTCATTTCCTGGAACGTCTCCCATCAGCACCAGAGTCTCTGAACAGCTCCTTTCGCTCCTGGCTCCACAGGGTCGAGGCGGTTCCTCGTTAAAAGGATAAAGTAATGCAGGAGGCGGGGGCGAGGCACATGCGGCTGGACCTCATCCTTTCCGCGACACCACTGGTCTGTTGCAAGTAACTTCAGAGAGAGGGAGACGTAGAGAGAGAGAGAGCCAGAGAATTTGAGGCAGAGAGATGGAGTGGGAGGCAGGGAGAGAGAGGCAGAGAGGCAAAGAGATGGGAAAGCCAGAGAAGGAGTGAGCAGCAGAAAGGGTAAAGACATAGAGACGGGGAAAGGCAGAGAGAGGGGGGTGAGGCCGAGAGGGAGAAAAAAAAAACAGGGGCAGACAGAGAGAGGCAGGGTGATAAAGGGAGAAAGAGAATTAGAGAGGGACGCAGAGAGAGGCTCAGGAGGAGACGGTTAGAGACAGAGAGAGAAAGACAGGAGGAGGGAGGGGGCACAGAGATAGAGAGAGGAGGGAGATAAGAGAGAGGCAGAGAGTGTGTGTGTGTCCACAGTCCAGCCTCGTGCAATTGATCCACTCGATCCCCCAGCTGACACTGACCATGGCAGAAAAGCAGCTCCGGGCAGCCGAAGAGGAGCAAGAGGACCTGCCGGTTTATTTCGCCAAGCTGGGCACAGGCAGCCCCAAACCCCGGCAGAAATACGGGGGCATGTTCTGCAATGTGGAAGGCGCTTACGAAAATAAAACTATCGATTTCGACTCGTTGAGCGTGGGCAAACGGAGCGGCCGGTCTGCGGGCAGAAACCACACAAGCCAGGTTTCCCTGGAGTCAGACGGGCTGAGTGAGAGCGCCAGTGATATCAGTGAGCTGTGCAGCCTCTCTGAGCCTGGGAGCCGTACTGAGCCCGGCGATCAGTCACCGAGACTACAAGGAGGAGGCTCCCTACACCAACAGCACACACAGGTAACAAAACTACATCACTCTCATGTAAAGTGTCAAATATCCGAGATCCCGGCCATGTAATTACTCAACTTGATTAAATGGAGAAATAAGCCTGTAAATATCAACACGTGAATATATAGTTTCAAGTTAGAACTCAGGCGGACCCCAGGTTATATTCGTCTGGGTACCATTATATGTATATAGTGTGTGACTGTGTACTGTGAAATTGCTCACCGAAACGCGTTATCTCATACATGCACCTTTTATTTTAATGTTACGCTGGCAAAACCTTAGCTGTCCCAAGAGTCTGTCTTTGGACTCTATTATTGGAAGCCAAAGTTTCTACCCCATGCTAAAGAGTAGCTGTCTGTGTTTTAATATTGCTGTGGAGACTCTGATGTTCCCCTTTTGCTCCCACTGTCTTTGCCGGACTGTGTCCCGTGAACTTTCTCTGCAACTTCTGCCTTGTGATTCTGAAGTGAGTTAAGGAACATTCAACAAGGGCCCAGTTTCTGAGTCGAGTCTATTACACCACTACACCACTGTGTAAAAAGTGGCAGGATGCCGGTACTCTGAGTGTGTGCGTGTGTGGGAGAGGGAGCGACTATATGTGTGTGAGTGGTTGTGTGTGAGAGAGGGTGTGTGTGTGTGTCTGTGTGTGAGTATGTGTCTGTGTGTGAGAGGGAGCGAGTACGTGGGTGTGTCTGTGTGTGGGAGAGAGGGCAAGTATGTGTGTCTGTGGGAGAGGGTGTGTCTGTGTGTGAGAGAGTTTGTGTCTGTGTGTGGTTGTGTGTGAGAGTGTGTGTGTGTGATTGTGTGTGTGGTTGTGTGTCTGTGTGTGTATGTGTGTAGTTGTGTGTGAGAGAGTGTCTGTGTGAGAGAGTGTGTGTGTGTAGTTGCGTGTGAGAGAGTGTCTGTGTGTGTGTGTCTATGTGTGTGTGGTTGTGTGTGTGGTTGTGTGAGAGCG